TGATTTTTCAATTTGTTATACAGTCAGCCGAATATATACTAGAAAATGAATTAATTCAAAACAACTTGCTAAACGACAATGAAATGTTTTTGAGTTTAGCTGTCGTGTGTGATACAACAAAAAATCAAAAAACAAATTTAATAATAATACACCAATAAGAATCAAATCAAAATGATAATAATCTATTTTAAAATTTACACGTAACTTTTTCAAGCATCTATTTTTGGCTATTATATTATGTTAATATAAATAAATACCATGTTAATTTTTATATAATAATATTATAATAATCATTTCAAACAAATTGTTAATTTTTAAACCAAATTGGATTTTTATAATACCCATTTTGTTTTTTAAACAATTAATAATATACAAAAATGCAATTTATTGACATTGAATTAAACTATTCAATGATTTTTTAAACGTTGTCTGGTTGACTAAATTACATTTATAACGTTTAAACAAAATTTATGTAAAAAATCAAAAACATTAAATATAAATGAAACTTTAATAAAGTGGGATTTTGAAAAGTTTTTATAAATATTTAAAATTCAATATAAATAACAATCAAAGTTTAAATATGTACAACATTTTGTATGTTTATTTAATGTTTTTTTCAATTTATGGATAGAATGAATTCGTTTATATATATTACACAATAAACGTTTTATCATTTTGTTGATTATCATAGTTTTTTAAAATTACAATTCTAATGACCCACGTCATTTTTTATATCTAAAATGTTTATTTCTTTTGTTAATCCGTACGTTACAATACTACAATTTATGCGATAATTATTTTAGAAACCAATGTTGATAATTATCGGTTTTATTTATTTATTCAATAAAACTAAAATAAAAATAAACATTTAAAAGTTTCAAATAATAAAAATGATTTTTGATAATTGTTTATTAAAAATACACATAAATTTATGAATGTTATTTGTAATATAATTTGTTTTTACTCATTTAAAAAATCTTTCGTTTTTTATTTGAAATAATTTATTGATATTTTTCAATATCAATAAATTGTTCAAAAATAATCATTTTAAATTGAATAAATTTTAATAAATTGTTTATTCTTACGTTGTTACACAAATTAATTTTAAACATTGATATCAAAATTTGTCTGGTTGAATTGTTTAATTATTAAAATAGACATAGTGTTTAATAATAATATTTATTGTGTTTGTTTTAGATATTTCTATTTTATAAAGTAGAATTTTAAATAACATTGGAATTGTTTTATATTTTACAAAATAAGACTAACTTGATATTAATTAAGTTGTTAATTTTATGACAAATTTGAAAACAACAAAACTCAAATTCAATAAATTAACAACATAATTAAAATGTATGAACAAAAAAGACAGTATCAAAATAAATACAAAATGTGCGTTTTTTTGATTTTGTAACTTGTATGTAATAAATTGATAAGTATACAAGATATAAAGTTTGAAATCACATACTGAACAACAGGAAATAAATAAAAGAGTTAACTTCGAAGTAATCACAAATTTTGGTTTATGATATGTAAAGACGAATATTTATCATCATATTAATTGGTGTGAGTTGTAATAGTAAGTGTCATTATTAAATGTTTGTAACCTTTTTGTTTTGTCTTTAGAATATAGATCAAATTTTTTTTAATTAATTACAATTTGTGTAAAAATATTTTTTGAGATATTTGCACATGA